CTCGCTCGCGGGGGTCCACCACTCGAGCGGGGACATTCCCGCCCCCGCCGCCCCTTGGCGGACCGACAAGACGTTCAACCGGCCGTGATGCCAGGCAAAAGTGGACAAAACCCCGAGCAGATCGCCCATCATCGCGGCCTCCACGTGCAACGGGTGGCCCCATAACTCCGGGCGATGGATGAGCCGCACCTCGACATCGATGGGGAACTTTCGGGTTTGGTAATTGGCCTCGGAAAGCGTGCGGAAAAGCCGCTCGACGTCCTTTAAATAGGTGTGCCGCCAATGCCCCAGGACGTCGTCGCGGTTGTCGGTCGTGATGGGGAGGTTCGGCAGCCAGGCGAGGCCGTCGAGCGCGAGGATGACCCGGACGCGGTAGAACGAAACCGCCTGCTCGCGCGTCGCCATTCGCAAGGCGACCTCGCGGTGGATTATCTCGGGCGCCACCCACTCGCGCAGATGCGCCTTCATCCGATTCACCGCGTTGATGGCGATCTCCGCCTCCTCGCTCGGGATGGGGTCGTCGTAGAACATCCAAAAAAGCGCCAGGAAGGCTAGCGAGCAGAGAATACCGCCGATAATCGGTAAAACCGATCGCCGCTGCCGCTCACGGTAGGGGGTATTCGGAAAGGTGGATCGCATCGGGTCCGGGACGCGCGAAAAGGCAGCAACGGGAATCGGGCAAAACGGCACGCGCTGGAAATCCCAATACCTTGATCCAAAGAATTAACCCCGATGGCCACAGGGAAAAGAAGACCAAAAAGATAAAAATATGACCTACGGGTAAATTTATGCAGTTTGAATCGTGTAAAAAAGAATAAGAGGAGAAACACTCAATCTGTTTCTGTAAAAAAAAAAAAACTTGAGATTAGGTAAAAGAAGTGACCTTATTTGAGAAAAACGATTATTACTCTACTGAAAAAAATCCATACATACTAAAGATGAAAGGAGTTTGAACAAGTCAAAGCAAGGATAAAAGGCACTGGAGAAAATCTTAGGATGGTAAAATCAAAATACCATTCAATTTTCAATCACCCATAGGTGACCTACGGTTCGTATAGGGTCTCAAACGCGCTTCATAATGCACGTTCCTACACACCATTACGTTATTACAGTTTACACGTTTTATAGTTTACGACGTTCCAATTCACACGGCCCGGCGTCGGTGTCGAAGAAAGGAAAAGTCGATCGGAGAAGCGAAGAGGGCCTGACGATCGAGGTCGATAAGGGGGGGGAGGGGGGGGGTTATTCCCGAAAGGCAACAAT